GAGGTGCTCCCCCGGGAGCGCTGAGGCGCCGGCGTGGGTCATGGCCGCGCGTCTGGGCCCGGAGCGCGTTAGCACTCTGCGCGGGGCCGTGGGGTACCGGTGACGGGTTGCGGTGCGTGGCATTGGGTCCGGAGTGCGCGGGATAACGAGCAGAACCCCCCCGAGCCTCTTTGAGCCCACCTGGCCTTTGCTAGCTTGTTCTAAAATAATAGTAATAGCATAATTAGCTGCGTAAGTTTTTTACCTGGATTAGACGTTTTTACTTGTTAAGTTTATGCAGGATTACATCCCTTTTGTCCTCCTGTAGCTTGTGTAAATACCCGACTGCTTGCTGTAACCAACTCGGCAGTGGTGTGGTCGTGTACTTGGTGTGCTGCTGGCAGCCTGTGCTGCCAGATGATTTGGAGCTGCTCACACCTATCGGGCTTTAAACCAGCTCCATAATTTGCAAGTGCTGTTGTGGCATATGTCTCTGTCTCCTAGTTTAATCTAACTGTTAGATTTTAACACTAAAACTGTGACACAATAGTCCCCACATGCACTTGGCCCTATGCTGTAATAGCTTCATAGAGCCATAACTGAGATTAATGCTGAGAGAAGCAGATGAGTTGAAGTTTTAACAGCTGCCTGGGGTTCAAAGTAGTGATTCAGTGAAGAGCTGGGTACTCCCATAGATACGTCTAAATTAGTTTTAAACTAGCTAGCATGGTACTTGTTGCCAACAGGACACCGTTAGAGAGTCAGGCTGCAAAATCTCCTGAGAACTGAACACCAAACTGCGACACTCAAGCTAGCAGGACTCCCTTTACCACAGTTCAAAAAAATGACAAGGGTTTTTTGTGTTTGGGCTAAAACTAATGTAAAAAGTGGGTTTAAACTTGTATTAATTTTTGATTTTAATACCTGCAGAAAGTTGTAAAAGTGAAAAAATGGTAAGAGGGTGAGAGTGAATGGTGGGGGGAGATGGGTAGGGCGAGCTGCATGTGCTGGAGTTGATGTAAAGAAATGTTCATCAGACTAGGGCTTTTGAAACCTGAAATCGTATATTCAGCTTTATTGCACACTGTAGAGGAAAACTATGAAAAAAAATTTAGTTTTCTAAAATGAAAATATTGGAAAGGAGGGAAGTGTGGATCAGATCCCATGGCATTTTGTGACAGACATGGGAAAGAAATTAGTTATCGAATGCTGATGGATGTTCTTTGCATTCAGTTATACTGCTGATAGGCAGAATATGAATATCATGCTGCTACTGTACTGATTCCAAATGTACATGATACCTAAATATACTAACATGCTGAAATAAACTATATTATTTTTAGTGCTGATACTGTTGTAATACAACCCTGTGTGGCAATGATGGAAGGGAAAGAAGGAGGAGGGGGGCTTGAGGTCTTGCCTTTTCTGCTTCTTCCTGCTTCCCAAGCCTGGCTACTAGACTGTCGGGAGAAAAGATCTGTGGGTCCTGGACTACAGGAAGGTGAACAAGGGAATTATTCTGGCAGGGTGACTGAAAATCAGGAATTGGAGGAAGAGGAGATGCTCACAGTCAAGGTCCCTCTGTGACTTGTACGCTCAGCTGAAGAGTTTCCTAGAGAATTCTAGACCTGCTCTCTCCCATAGTGTGGCTGGGATAAGAGAGTGTTAATGAGGGGAGAAGAAGAGACTCCCATCTCTGTCACACACCCCTCAAACCTTGCTAACCTTCTTAAAGCTTCTGTTGTGCTGTTTGATGATGTTACGGAATTTCTTTTGATGTCAGCATTGTAAAGGCATTGACTGTTGCTGTGTCACATACACTCGGGGTTTTATGTTTCTTTAATTGCAGTTTGACAGCTTTTCCATTGAGCAGAAGTATCATTTACCTAGCTTACCTGGATAAAAACTACATATTGTATAAAAAGCAACAAAGAACAGTTTTATTTGTTCGACAAATTTTGAGATAGGAAAAGACGAAGACTCTTTGAAGCTATCTGTAATGCAAATCAGTGGGTTTCTAAACCAGAAATTGTTCTTGATGTTCTAGTGTTCTAATGATGTACTTATAGTAGTATCTAAAAACAAAAATATGACCAAGTAATCCCTCTAATTACAGCATTGTTAGGAGTATACATCTATTAATCAGTTTGGCAAAATGATTACAAATATTTAGAAGTTTTAAAGGTCCAAGAAATTAAGATAAAGAATTCTTTTGGGCCTGTCCACCTAAATATGACAAATACCCTTTAACTGCAAGTTGTCCTTATGCTCATCATCTTTTTTCGTGAATTTACGATGCAGGCATTATCGGAAGCGCTCTGCGTCACGTGGACGGTCTGGTAGCCGTTCTAGAAGTCGTTCTCCATCTGACAAAAGGGGAAAACGTGGAGAAGACAGGCGCTCTAGAAGTAGAGATCGAGAACGTAGACGTGAGAGGTCACGCAGTAGGGACAAGAGAAGGTCTCGATCGCGTGACAGAAAGCGTCAAAGGTATGACTTATCAATTCCAATCAAAGTAGATAAAAATGCTTGTCATCTGAATATTGACATTCTTCCACTGTCGTTAGTAACTGTGTTGTTCATGATAGATCTTACTGTGCTTAACATTTTTGCTTATTAAATGGTTTCTAGCTGCTGGTGCTGGAGTTTGTAAGCTCTTAGTTGTTTTGATGATTGTTGGATTCCTTTTACAACCTGTTCCTCAGTAGCAGGCTAAAATTATACTATGATCATGTGCTAAATAAATACAAATTTGTTCTGTGGCAGACGTTCAAGAAGTAGAGAAAGGGAACGGAGCCGAGAGAGAAGAAGATCCCGGAGCCGAGAGAGGAGGCGCTCTAGAAGCAGAAGTAGAGGTAGACGGTCTCGATCCTCCAGTCCAAGCAAGAACAGGAAAACGGAAAACAGGTATTTGTGTTCTCTAATTACAGTCAATGTCATGTCAACAAAACATCGTGAAACGATCGGTAGCATGGAAGGAATCGTCAGGCAAACCTATGCAAAACTTTGGTTTGTAGAACACAGAGAATATTACGTGAGTGTATTGTTACCATCTTTTCCCATTGCTTAATATGTCTAACACAGTTTGTTGTGAGAACATTTCTATAAAAGAAAAAGATCCAAGTTGTGGCAGCTAGAAAAAGCAGTTAACTTTAAAGTCAAGACTGAATTTAATTCTGAAAGTTTTGTAGTGCTTTGTTGTTAACTCAGGTTCCGGCATCAGTTAGTAATGTTTTGTGTCCCAGCATGTATGCCCAAATTAATAAAGTACCGGTGCTTTCTAGAACAGGCATTACATTGAAGTAAAACTTTCTTTAGACCTGTAGATCACTGGAGAGTTAAGTAAGTTTTCATTTGCTCCAGTGCAGTGTTCTCAGTAATGCACTGTATCATTTTCTTTCTCGGATAAAGCACTTTATTTCTTTGGAAACGTACAGGGCTTTTAAAAAATGCGAGGAGGGTGGCAGCGCAGGCATCGTGGTGACATCTGTAAAAGGAACTCGTGAACTGTTATAAGTGCCACTGATTGTACCTGAGCTAAATGTTTCATGCATTCTTCACACAAAAGGTGTTCTAAAGAATGTAAGCCAATAAAGTTTGGAGCCTGCTTTTTTAAATTATATTTGTGCAGAAAAATAAAGTATGTAGTGTAACACTTCAGAGAAGCTCAAGAAGTCTGCTTTGGTCAAGCCACCACCTGTTCATCTGCTGTTTGTTGAGTTCCGTGGGTGTGTTTAGTGCTGCAGTCAGTATAGATTTGACAAGTAGTAGTCTTAGGGGTTTACAATCAAATAAACTATCTAGTAAAGAGACTTAGAAGAGTTCAAGCTTCACCTCTTTAGATGTTGACTTTAGAAATATGTAAAAAACTACAACAGATCATGTTCTTTCAAATACATTTTAATGGAATTTTCAGATATAATTGCAAACAGTATATAATCCTGTGTAATCTATACTGTAAAATGAGCGGGAAGTCCATAAGTTGTAACAGCAGTTTGTATAAAGAATTAGCAGGTTGATGACAACTGTGAGAAGCTGGAATGACAGTCTTTTGGAATAAGTGTATGGTTTGTATTAGAA